CACACACACACGCGGGCGCACATCACACCTACACGCACACGCACACGCACACGCACACATGCGCTCGCTGGTGCGCTCGCCATTACGAACGCCTTCATCTGAATCCCCCCAAGAGAGCCCACGGTTATTATAGTTGTGTCCAGACGCTTTCTCATCTATGATTCTGTGTTTGCCAGTATGTATTCATGATGCTGGTGCGTTGTGTTCGGGAGAAGACGGGTATTTTGGACATCTCCACTGAAGCGCCTTGAAGAAAGTGCTTGAGCTTGATAAGTAAAGGGGGGGGGGGGAGGAGGAAACACGGCCTTTAATACGTATATGATGAAATATGTGATGAAGCAGCAATACTGTAAAACAAAAAGAAATTCCAATGGTGAGGATTGAATCGTGCAGAACAACTCAGTCACTTGTTGCTGCCACTCAGCATCCTCGCAGTTGTGTAAAGAACTGCAGCCAGAGGGATAATGGCGCATGCAAGTTCTCTTAGTTATTAGTAATGATGATGAAATAGCAAAGACTGTATGTAACATTGGAAGTGGAAGCATGACCATGCTACTTGAGTAGTACGGAATGAGACAAGGCTTGATTCAATGCTTCTGGAAGCGATCTTGTACTAGCTGAGTAACCCTCTTGGCATTCCCCTGAAGCATTTTCTAATAATTTCTATACCTTTCTTTCTGTTTGCCTGTCTTAGGAAAGTTGTTGTTTTGTTCGAAGTTTGCAGTGAAGGGATGCTTTGTAGACCCTTGTTTCTTTTTTCTGTTTTTTTTTTTTTTTTAATTGAAAATCAAGGGATGCTAGACCCTGTTTTTTTTTTTGGGGCAATCCAGGGAAGCTAGAGCCTGTTTCAAGCTGGAGCATAAGCTGGGTAAAGCCCCCAGAAACCTTCGGCTTGAGATGTTAGGAGTTCCGGGCCTCTTTTTTTTTTTTTTACACTAAAAAAAAAAAACAGGCCCCGATCTATTCGTGCGGAGCAGCACGTGCTGAGAATCGGGATCAGCGTCCCATAGGAAAAAGCATAGGATATAAGAAGAATTGTAGATGACACGTCCGCCTCATATGGTTGATTTTTTTTTAAAAGGGCGATGGCCTTGAGGTATTATCATCGGACTAACCAGCTCAGGTAAATTCAATCTTGTGTCTAATCTGCCATCGGGTGGCCTTTTCAGCCCAGGGTGGCCTTTTTTTATTGCCTTCAGGGAACCCCCAATTGGGGGGGGGGGGGCACTGGCCAGGGGACAGCCAGTAGCAGAGGGACCGAGCATCATCTGAATGGCCAGTCGCTGTGCCTCCCCGATTACCCCTCCCCCTATGAACATCAGCAGAGACTGCCTTTTAATGCCAATTGGGGCGACCGACGGGCTATCTCTAGGTGGCGGGCGCCAAGCATGCCCAGGAAGGTACATGAGGCCAATAGGGATTGGACCCGAGACCTCCTGAATGCCACTTGCGTGCCTTACCAGCTGCTTTTGGAAAGGAAAAAAAATGGAAGTTGACACGGAAAGAGCACTGAGAGCAGTACTCAGCTTAATAGCTTAGGAGAACACGTCTGCATTCTCTTCCATACAAAATCAAACCACAAAAAAAGCTATCTACCCACTAACGGGCCTACTACGATAGGTTGCATTCCACTAGGTCTGGGAGGCCGGCCCAGCTTTGGTGCTTGTCACTGCTGTCTGGTCCAAGTTGCCCTCGATACTGGTACTAGGGTGATGGTCCTGAGTGCTGGCCACACTGAGGTAGGATAGTAGGGACAGGGGATGCGCTGCGAGTATTAACGTGCGGATGGGTAAGGTAGGTAGGTGGCCTATCCTGTCAGGACAACCATTGGCTGCCGCTACCAGCAATGACCGCGGGTCTGGTCCTTGGCCTCTATAACACCCTGGGCTTAAAAAAAAAAAAAAAAAAAACACCGATCGGTTGGACTAATGGTTTGCCACTCTACGCTAATCTACAACACGGGCCTAGCTATGGCCCCGTTTACGGTTTACCGGCCTTCTGCCGCCCGTTGGAACCTACCGGGTGCCTTAGTGGCCGGGCACTCTCCACCGTCCATATTCTTATGCCTACTGTGGCGCCCTATTGTTACCTGGTTCTAGTGATACTGCCTGGCCGCACCAGGTAAGCCGTGAGCCACAGAGTGATTACTATGCTATTAACTGATAGAAATTTTAGTACCACTTTTTGTTTATCCTGCCGGAGGAGGAGATCCTGTTTGATTCCAACACATCTGTTTTGGTTCTTTGGTGAGGATGGTCACCTTAGAAAGTGATCTCAATAAAAGTTCTAGTGGTTTGCTAATATCCACGTCTATGTGTGCTGTATAGCAGCACACTGACCGCTCTCCTCATCCCTCCAACTGTCTAAAGAACTCCAGCCACAGGGATAGTTGCGCCAGCAGTTTACTGAGAGCTATATAGTGGTAGCTGCATAGGGGTGCTTGCTGCCTGTAGGCTACATAGCTGGCAACTTTTGTCATCATTGTGACTTAGCTTAAACCACCAGTACTTGGCCCAGCTATGGGCTGTGGGAAAAAATAGAGTAGAAATGTGTCTAGTCGGATGAACCTGGGGGCTCCTGTAGTGGCCCGTACGTTTCCTAAAATCGTGGCTTGTTAACGGGCATGGCTTTAGGAAGTACTGGTGGCTTAAGAATCACAGCCACAGCTGCTGTTCGGTTGGAGCCATAGCTGCAGGTCCACTCACTTGCCCAAGCCATTGACATGAAGGTAACCATTCCAGAAGGTGATTTCAATGTGCTATATGCCTGGATTTAGTTAAGGAACTGCAGCCCGACCTGTAGGCCTATGCAACTGTCCGTTCAGTCAGCTCACTTTTAACTCTAGGAGTCTAGGAATACTACTGGCAAGTTGGTGGGCTTATCATGAGCTAGGTTGGGGCGGTTGGTGGTTTTGGGATCCCGTAGAAAATGTATCTTTGATGCCTTGGGTATTAGCCACAGCTTGCATTCATTCAGTCATCTCATTTCGGTTGAATTCTTGGACCTTCTTTCTAAACATTGTTAACTTTTCTTTTTCCTTTTTGCTTTTTTCTCCCAATAAACAGGACTTTACAGCCCAGGCTCCATGTCCATTCTGGGGAGCGACAGTCCGGTTCCTTTTCCACCGGCAAGTCAGATACACAACAAGAACACCCTCATGCTTCCTTCCGTATGGCAGAAGGACCCATGAGCAGCGTGAGTAGCGTTGTTACTTTATTATTAAACCGCACGTACAAGACCCCAGCCTTGCAGAAAGTTTTTTGTCACCACAAGCAAAACTCGGAGGGGGGGCGCGGCCAGGCCCGCCATTGAAAAAAAAAATCGGCGGCCTCCGAAGTGGTGCGGGTTTCATGCTGACACCCACAGGCCTATGTGTGGTGTACTGGTGCTTTAAGGCTTTTAGGCTATGTTTCCGAAATTGGATTCAACGGGGGTTTCCCGTTGAAAGGTTCAACGGCCGTTGAAACCCCGTTACAACAGCCGTTGAAACCGCGTTAGAACACGGTACAATGCGTCCCGCGAAATTTTTTTTTCACGGGCAAAACATAATCCAAAAAAAAAACAAAAAATATGGGGGTGTAGATTTTTTTGGCGCTCTACATCCCCATATTTTTAGTTTTATTTTTTGAGCATTTAAATTGTTTTAAAAAAATCAAAAACCTGACCAGACTCAAAACACATCGATTTTTTTAATATGTTTTTTGATTGATTGATTGATTGATTGATTGATTGGTGGGGGATGGGTCGCCCCCCCCACCCCCACCCAATCAAACACACACACACACATATACACACACACAAACATACACACACACAC